TTTGTTTTCTCTGTTACTTGGGTGGTTATTTTAAGTAGGTTGTTGATTTCGAAAGATTTGTTCGGAGTTGAGAAATTGCCTTCAGTTGTAACATCGGTAGAATCTGGACTGAATTGAACTTTGTCAACATTTTCTGTATTGACAGTATCTTGAATAATGTCCGTTTCCGTAGTTAAATTTTGTATGAGAGATTTGGTACTTGTCTCAACTGTTTCAGTTATATCCGTTGATATTTGAACATCATGTTTAATTTTAGTATTTGCTTCAGTATTTACATATGTGGACACTGTCTCATTTACTTCGCTACTATGACGGTCATAATTCTCTTCGATTCTGAAAGTTTGTAATGTAGGTTCAAATGTATTTTCTTTTTCTGGTAATAATTTAGTACTAGGAACTGGTACTTGTATATTTAAAGTTGTATCTTCACCAATATCAGATAAAGTGTAATTGTTAATATAATTTGCGGTCCTACTGTTAGCTTCAGGTGATACGTTAATGTCTGTATAATTTACAACAAATTGTTCAGTGGTGACGGTGTTTTCAAAATAATTGGTTGTTACGTTTTGGTTATCAATTTCCGATTCGTTACTCTCAGTAAATGTGTTATTCCGATCTCTATCTGTTTGGTCTTCAGCAGCAGAATTGTCAGTCATATTTAAACTGATTAAATTGTCAGTTACATTTTCATTGAAGTCCACGGTTTTTGTAAACGATGTTATCCCAACGCTGTATTTTGTTTCATTTATATCTTCTTCGTGTAAAGTGGAATGATACTCTGCTAATGTGGTTGGTACAGCATTATTAGTAGTAATTGTCCCTAATTCAGTTTTGTTAAAATTTGCACCGGTATTTTCTGTATCATCTCTGACAGATTCATTGCTTGTTATTAAATCTTCAATTGTACCGAGAATCATAGGTGATGGCTTTGATGAATGCGTGACATAATCAAGATATGTGGTATTCATTGTTTGGTATTCATTTTTGGAATCTATTGATACTGTTTCCTTTGTCTCTTTATCAAAAGTCGTATTCAAATCAATTTTAGTATTGTTACTGGTTGCGATTGTTGGAATCTCTTGTAGTATAGCAGCTGTTACTTCATCTTCTTTTAATGTCGGTAGTTCGTGATTGAATTCATTTTTAGAGTAATTAGTATTTGTAATCTTTGTGATTTCGATAGCTGGGGTTGGACTTAATACTTGTTCCTCACTAGTTAAAATATTTCCAATAGAATCTGTTGTTGACAATGTTGTGCTTTGAATGTTGGTCTCATTTTCTAAGTCATCTGTCACATTTATAAAGACTGATGTAGATGCGACGCTTTCAGATGAATCAATATTAGTATTTAAATTTGGTTTAATGTTTTCAGTAACTTCTGTCTCTGAATTTGAGTTTGCAATGGTCTTGTTAGCATGGATCACTACATCAGCGGTTGAAGTATATATAACTGATGGTGTCTCATTTGGCGTCACTCGGAACGTACTAATTTCTTCAGTAAAACTTTCAATGTCTGTATCATCAGTATAATTTTTTCTGTCTAACATCAAATTTTTGTCAAATATGTCATCATTTTGTACAAATGAGTCAGGTTTAAAGTATGTACCCGTATTTAAAGGCAACGCGAAATCCATAATTTCATCATCACTTGCTGTTATAAAATTAAATACATCTTCATGTGTAGTATTCTCTGCATTATCAATAATGGAAGATTTTATAAAATTTATATCAATCGTGGATGGTGCCGCAGAAGTCATAACTTCAGCATCACTGTTGAGTTCAGTAGCTGTTGTAGTATTTAATGTGTTAACAATTATTGTAGCATCGTACATCGAAGCCTCTATACCAGTGAAGTCAATTGGTGACTGTGTGGTAAAATGTATAGTTCCGTCATTGCTAGCAAGTTCAAATGTATTTGTTTTATTTTCTATAATATCAGTGACAGAAAATTCTGCATTCTTTAGGTCGGTTGTGAGTAGTGTCAAAGAACTTAAAGTTTTATCATCTTCACGTTCATATGCTATTGTATTCTCTGTAATATTAGAAACTGATGACTCTGCAGTATTTAGGTCTAGTGTCAGTTTTGATGAAAGAGCTATAGTTTTATCATCACGTTCAAGTTCATTTGTTTTATCTGTAACATCAGCTGTAGATGGTTTTGTACTATTTAACTCCACTGAAGGTTGTTTAAAATCAACAGTTTTATCATAATTGCCAAGTTCAGTAGTCATTGTATTGTTTAATGTATCACCTAGTGTTACATTATCTATAAATTTAACAGAAAATTTCGCATCGATTAAATCAGTTGAAGACTTTGATTCAATGTCATAATCACTAGCGGTTATAGTAGATGTATTAGCAAGTATTGTATTTTCAACTACATCAACATCGAAAGAGTTAACATTATCTTTGTAAGTTGAAGGTTTTGTAAAACTTGTAGTTTCATCTTCACTATTAAGTTCGGATGTAATCGTAACAATATTGTTTTCTATTACATCACCAGCATATTCTTTTGTATTTAAATCTATTGAAGATGGTGTTGAAATATTCGTAGCTTCATAGTCAATAATTGTTGGTGTTACTTCACGATTAAATGTTTCTGTAAACTTTGTCTCTTCATTATTAACATCATTGATTGTAGGTTTCATATTCATGTCTGTTGAAGCTGATAACTCATCATAGCTGTTGGTTGTATTATTATTAGCAATTATATTATTCGGTATGATATCCGGTGTAAGATTTATTTTCGGAGGTACTGTATTCTGGTCATTTATTTGTGGTGATATAAAGCTCTTAGTTTCGTCATATTGTATGGTTATAGGCGTTACTGTATTATTTACTACACCAGCAAAAATATCTTCTCCAATATCTACAGCGATAGGTTGTTTAATGTTATCGGTTGCTTCCGAGACTTCTAAAGTAGAACTGTCATTAACGTTTCCGAGAGCGATTGTGTCTTTTAAGTTCAAAGCAATTGTAGTTTCTTCTGCCTCCAAAATCATCGGAGCAGTAACGCCTATAGTTTCAAGAAAATCGTTACTGTTACTGGTTCGATTCGGTTTAAAATAAGTTGTCAGTTCCACATCAGTACTTTTATAATAATATGGTGAATTGGTTAATGTAGTATGATATTTATCTTTTTCATTGTTTACTCCCATTGGAACTTCCATCTTTGTTTGATTATACACGTGTGTCCCATTTGGTTGTAAATTTTCAATCTCCGTATTAATTGATGGTTTCTCTGTATACGCCTTATCGATGTTAGTGTGATTAACTTCAACAGTTTGCAGGTAATGTTGTGTCGTTTGTTTAGAAACAAAATCATTAAGCAATACAATAGCCTTTGTAACTTCCGCCAACTGTGTAGTATCATTAGAATTCAATACTAACTTGTTAATATCGTTTTCTTTGGACCTGGCGCGATCTTCCTTAGTAGTGTTATCTTCTGTTGTCAATTCTATATTAGATGTATGTTTATTTTCTTCTTCATAAGGATCTTTAGGAATGTCCAAATCTTTAGTATCGTTTAGTTTAATTTCATAGAGCTTCACAAGCTTTTTAATTCTTGTGATCGTATTTCTATAATGCCGCAAAAGGTTAGTTTTATTATGTTTTTCATTAGACATATTTAATGGTATATGAGCGTCGTGCGTGCACTGTGGAGTTGAAGTACCATTATAGCAGCACATATTTAAGTAGTCACTGTGATTTTGGCTCGTATTAACTTCTATATACATCTTTATTGTTTCTCGTTTGCGCATATATTTGTACATCTTAGTACGGTTGTTTCGTTCACTTTCAGTTAAAAATATATACAGTGATTGCAAGTTACAATCGGAAACAATCTCTGGCTTCTGATGTTCTTCATTGCTTTTATGTTTTTGATCATGTTTTTTATCTATTATATCTATTCCTATTGGTGAATCTGTGTACAGGATTTTATTTAACTCCTCTTCGGTAATACTGTGTGTTCTAGAAAGTACCTCTTCTCCATCGGGGTGTAAGGTAAGTATTACGATGAGATTATGTCGCACGGTACTTTTCGTGATAGGCGCACCCTTGTCAAGAAGATTGTATTTTTTGATTCTGTATTTGTGAAGGTGTCTTGTTTGTATGAGTGCTTTTAATAAGATATTTTCCAACTTTGATGGTAATGGAGTCTGCTCAACTAGATCCTTATCAGTTTCCCCAGTTGTAATGTGTGTTTTGTTATTCTCATCTTTACCACAACTTGTATGATTTAAAAACGTACTTTCTTCTTCAGCGATGTATCTTTGAGAACGATTTGTCAGTTCTTGTCTTAAATTAATGCATGTATTATTATATATATTTCTATAGAGTTCGAGTACTTTACCATCAGTGATGTGGGACTCGTTGGGTTCCACGGAACTATTGGTAATTAAATAATTTTCTTCCTTCACTTTCAAAGTTTCCCGCATGCAGACACACAGGCTCCGCAGCAGCTTCAGTGTTACTTCTAGTAAATGTTCGTTACTGGTTGCTGCGTCCACCAGCTGGAGGATCTTCATCAGTAGAGGACTGTCACTAGTCGCTAGAGAGTTTTTGAGTTGCACCAATCCATAAGTTTGCAGCACTTGATATATTAGGCACAGAAGAATTATAGTTTTGATTTTCATTTTAAGTCGGTAATTGTAAAGGCGTCATGTTGGAGGAGCTGAGTGCTGCCGAGTGTTTAGAACAATAATGTTGACGTAACTGTGTTTTGCCTCGCGAAGGAAAACGTTAACGGCTGCGATAAGCGAGCTGGCAAATGTTTTCTTTTATGTCGCTCTAAATGCTATTGAAATATTGAAAATCTGGTTACCAACAACGAGCTCATAAAAATAATCGTTTATCCTTATTTATGTATATTAAAGGGCATTTGCAACACCATGCATGGTTTTAATGTTTGAAATACCTACTGTTGGGTAAACAGTGTATGAGTCTTCACTTTTTTAAGACTTATGCATATTATGATGAAAACGTGTCAATATTCTTACCCAGTTGTCCATCTCCTTCTGTCTATCCGTGAGAGTCTCCTGCAGTCTTGGCCCCAGCTCCTCCATGAACCCTCGCACCAGCCCCCGCGAGTGCTCCAGCGCCTGCTGGCTCACCACCACTGAAGCAAACTCCAGGTACGACTCCATCGTCGTCTCCAGCTCCGGGACTGGCAGCTTGGGCAGCTGGACATTCTGGAATATTTTCAACTATAAGTACTTTTCTATAGAGGTTGAATTCCTTTGCACTGTCCTGACTATATTAAATTGATTTTATTGTTTCATGCATAAAATATATTGCACACAGCAGGACTTGTATAATGCCGTAATAACTTATGAGTATCTCGTTGGTTGAGTGATCGCAGGAACCGAGCATGAGATCTTAAGTTCAATTTCCTGTCTGGGCAATTTTTTTATGGGATAAACCTGTATACGAGCAGACGATAAGCAATCGCCGTCGCCCATGGACACCCGGAACACCAGAGGCGTTACCAGTTCCTAATCCAGGATTAGGAATTTGAGGATAGTTCCGGATTCAGGGCTTGAAGGATTGAAGAAAATGGGGAAATATTTGGGGAAATACTAAAATTGTCATGTTCTGTAGCTTAATTATCTGAGTGTATGGCAGTAGACTCCTGCGAAGTAATGCTAGCAACGAAGGCCTCTACCCATCTCTTTTGACTTGACTCATCATATTTGTACCAAAATAAACGTGTCACCTGGTAGTCCTCGTCGTCTGACCCGTACACCTGGGTGCTGAGCCAGCGCTTCGGCAGGGACAGCAGAGACTCGCCCCATGCTGCAATAATCAGAAATTTTATTGTTAGAATATGTAACATGTAGATTATATAAACACATAAAATAATGTATCTATTCAAATAACGCCCCGATTGTTCTGTAGATTTGCACCTAAATTTCTTGTACACACAATTGAATATTGTTTTGTTCCTTCACATCCGGTATTGTAGCTATTCTTTTATTTCAAGGCCACGCTTATCATGTTTCCGTAAAGTCTTCACATTGTTAGATGAACGTGTAGGCTGGCATTCAGTCTGTTAGAATAGTTAAGTTTGACGACAATGTGACAAATATTCCATAAAGTTAAGTTTACATAAAATCATATTCTTTACTTTATTTGTTGTCTGCGACTTCGTGAATATTAGAACATCACTTTTTTCTATTTCAATTTAGTAAAATAAAAGTAGCCTATGTTACTCCTTAGTACTTTAGCTACCTGCTAAGAAAAGTCTTGTAAAATCGGTCCAGCCATTCCAGAGATAAGCTAGTACAGACAGACAAAAATTGTAAAAAATGTTTTTTGGAATGCATATTCATATGCATGTAGTAAAAAACGGTTATTTAAACATTATAACCATAACATAATATCACGCCTTTTATCCCCGAAGGGGTAGGCAAAGGTGCACCTTATACCACTGTACAATGTAACACCCACTTTTTACTATTTATGTTATGAGTCCCATGTAATAGGGGGTGAGCCTATTGCCATATACCGGGCACAATTCCAGACTCCGTGCTACTACTGAGAATTTTTTAAAAACCCAGTTTTTTTTGCCCGACCCGGGAATCGAACCTGAGACCCTTTGCCCGGCAGTCGCACTTGCGACCACTCGGCTAATGAGGCATATTACAAACAGACACTCCAATTTTATTTATCTGTATAGATTTAACTGGAGAACTGAAGCTGGTTATTGTCAATTGTTCCAATTTGTACTTAAAGCAACAAAAAATTATCTAAACGGTTATTACACTTAGACAAACAAATAAACCAGTCAAACATAATAGACATAATACTACAGCCTTAACAATGCTTATAACAATATATTAATGTATCCTACAGATCAATAACGATTGTCATAATCATAATGATCCATACAAACCACGAGTAATTGTCCTAAGATCAGACACAAACAGTGTAACAGCGGGTAACAATATTATGTTATCTGCTTAAGCATAAGTAATGCGATTATCGCCTCCTCCGCAGCTGTGCCAGGGAGGAGGTTATGTCATTAAAGAGGGTCAAAGGACCGCCAGTTATATTGCACAGTTTAACCTTTGCTACTACTGAGATTTTTTTAAATCCCAGTAATACTTTGCCCGACCCGGGAATTGAACCCGAGACCCCTTGCCCGGTAGTCGCACTTGCGACCACTTGGCCAACGAGGCAGTCTTTGTACCGAGTAATACTTTGTACCGAAAAATAAAACTATAAACATTCACACTAAACAGTTTTCAAACATTGTGTACTCTATTACCCAATAAATAAAGCAAGTAATACTTGCAGCGAAGTGCTCGTATACCGTGCATCGCCTCCAACCCCCTCTAGGGGTAGCTTGGCAATATTAAGAGTTAGAGGCAATATCCGCCGAGGGACAGATGTAGTGCCTCGCAACCTCACAGGAGGGACGTGATCATCCGGACACTCTGTGCAAGAGGTCTCAACGTTCGTGAGTTACGACTTAAGTGGTTTTAGTTGGAAATAATGGGTAAGTTTATACGGAGATCCTAGGTGAAGTTTGTTAGATTGATATTTGATATTTTCGTTGGTTTCTGTAATGCACTCAGCAACATTGTATTTTTTTAAACTAGTGTGCACAATGTGTCGGCTCTATATGATGTGATAAAATTGTTTCATTATCATAATTGTAGATTAGGGAAATAAAGAACTGATCCACTGACCTCTAGTAACGAAACTAAAACGAGTTTGTTTTACGTATGATAAATAATAACCAAGGAAATAAAGATGTTTTTAATGAGCCGGTAAACGAGCCGACGGATCACCTGATGGTAAGCAATCGGCGTCGCCCATGGACACTAGCAACAGAGGAGAGGAGAGAGAGTTGCAAATGCGTTACCTGTCTTTTTGTGATTCGGAGATTGGGGAGATTGGGATAATTGGGCCTCCGGTAACCTCATTCACACGATACAACGTAAATGTTGTTTCACGTCGGTGTTCTGTGACGCCGGTTCATTCGTATCGAAACATGGCTGTCCCACACTTAACTCAAGATTCTTATTATAGAGTGTAGTTGTTGCCTCAACTTAATAAAATTACGCCAACAAGCCAAGTAACAATACACGTCAATTAATAAGGACCACTAATATGTCAAGAGTGATTAATTAGACAACTCTGCCGACCCCCGCCACGTTACACAGGGAAACTAATCACCCAATTTGTCAGCCGCCATCTTTCAATTTGGGAGTCACTTCTACTGACTCCATTTGTCTTATAATCACTGAAAAAGTAGAATCAAAGGTGCTTAATTGTATTAGACTGTGGTGTAATGGTCGTTAGCACTGCCGCGAGTAAAGAGTATTAGATTTAATTGTCAGGATATTAAGGTAAAAAATTGTGTATCGATTTAAGAATCCACAGGGAGGCATTGGCTAGATAATTATACTGGCTTACAACTCATATCATGCCTCAGGATGCAAAGTTATTGGTGTCTCTAAATGTATATAATTATGTTGTTTACCTTTTATCTTTATAAACAAATAGATAAAAAATATTCTTTGACTGAATTACTGAAATAAATCGCTAAGCATCAATTCACAAACCAAAAATACCCATAATTTAAACAAAGCTCCATGTAAATTAATGACGCAACTTTTTCTCCAATTTATTTACATTCAGTAGTGACTGGTGACTGAGTGACGTCAATAAATTGCTGTCGTTGGCAGTTGTGACGTCACTGAGACGGATCACTTCGTTAGAGGTCAGAGAGCGGGAAATTATACTGCTGCGCCACTGGGGAGTCATTTCTACAGTCTGTATAGGAACTGGGAGATATTGGTTTTTGTCATTTCAACCCTTTATCTATCTTTATGTCGAGGGGATACGGTAGGCATTTAAACTCTGTTTGATATCTAAAACCGGTGACCCGTCTTACTTTTGTGTTGAACTGTAGTAAACTCGGGGTGTTGTTCAGCAGTAAAACAACAGAAAAAGTAATTCTTTTTCAATAGAGTTGACGCTGACGCTGTATGGTAGTTGTTTCTATTTGTTATATTATTCCAAATATTGAATAAGTATATGGCAATAGCTCAATATATATGGCAATATGCTCACCCCCTATTACATGAGTCTTATAACATAAATAGTGAAAAGTGGGTGTTACATTGTACAGTGGCATTAAGTGCCGTAATATGCACCTCTGCCTACCCCTTCAAGGATAGAAGGCGTGATTTTATGAATAAGTAAAACTAGCTGTTTCGGAAAGTATCATACTACAAAAAAGTATTAGTAAGTATAGACATATAGTATCTGTGTACGTATATGTAGAGTAATTTGCACCATCAATAAAGTCCGGGTACATTTACTGTGTGGCAAATTGGCTTCCCGTCATTTGTGCCCGGGGTGACCACGGGACGATCCCGGGACGACCCGAGCCGAACAGAAACTTGTAAAAAATATAGAAGGTCCTGTAGTTTATGGTATGGTTGTTTGCTACTTGCGAAATAAATTGTAAGAGGCACGGAATTTTATTGATTACAGGATGATAAGGTACGTAAGTCATTATACGGTTGTTTAGTAGACAGCACTTCATTCTGGGAGACGAATCTACGACCGCAACCAATAGATTGATACGAGTATTTAACACAAACATTGGTGATTTCAAAAGTCACATAACATTGCTACATCAAATTTCAGCAAGCGTGGTGTTTAATGCTCAAACCTTCTCTGCATGAGAAGAGGCGTGCAGTTCAGCATTGGCCGCTTATATGCTGTTGATGAAGATGTGATGAGATTGAATGAAGATCATAGTCATATAGTACATACATGTCGATGCGTCCTTAACGATATCTTTCATCTCACTGCCTTCTCTATACTTCTCACGTTATACGTCACTGAAGCTTACAAAAATACTGATACGAATACTGCTCGACATTTGGTTGGGAGTGACCCATATACCGGTCGGACAGCGAGTATTGATCGGAGAGTATGGAGGTCGGTGCATATACAGATTACTAGTAAATTACTGAAAATAACATGTCGATACTCTTCATGCCTTAAATGATATATAACCTATAAAAGTGGTCACTGCTTAGTAACGGCCTCTTCTCACACGGAGAAGGTTTGAGTATTAATTACAACGTTTGCTAAAGGCCTATGTAATTCTGACTAAAGAGAT